CTCTCAGGAAGACCCGACTGCTTTGGTAGCTTATGATGTTTGTTTACTCCGTTTAGCCACTTCGCGGTTGGTCCAGTCAGCAGGGTTTAGGTAAGGCTTGAAGGTAAACAGAAGCTGAATATTAGGCTCCTTGCTCCTACCAACCTCTCTGCATCCCTCTACTGCTGCTGGGATGAAGCTCTGGGTTGTTACAGTGATATAACCTCACTGCTAAGGAGTACAAACAAGACAGAAATAAACAAGCTTGTTGTACATTTCAAGTTACCTTTACAAGGCTTTCTACATGTGAAACTTCAGCTGGAACATCTTTAAAATAACTAAACGTAAAGCAGCCATGTCATTTGAACTCTGAAAATAAACCAGGCCAAGTTGCTAAACTTGTTTTTCAAACTATTCAGAACAGCTACACCCCGTGCCGACATTCTACGTCACATGGGTTTCAGCGTAAGGCCACAAGGAGGGTTTTGTTATTGTGGCGGAAATGACAGCGTGGCTCAGCAGCATGAGAGGGAAAACTGAGAAAATTAGATTTTTCAGTTACCAACAAAATGACTTTGATGTTTATCTGAAAGCTACAAAGTCACGGTTTGTTTGAAGGCTTGAAGTCTGTGGAGATAAAATGCAACTAAAACAGACATGGCAGGTTTACCTGACCTTATTTCTTCTAAATGTTGATATTAATATAACTCTGTGGCTTTTAAGCAAAGTGAGCTTAATTTAAAATACAAGAACTAAAGATGCTATATCCTGGGATTATCGTAACCAGATACTTTTTGTGTTTTTTTTGTGCAAATTTAACTGAAGTTTCAGCACTAATACTAATCCCAGGATAACAAGAAATGGAATGAAAAACAGAGCCTGGGTTCATTTTTAAAAAATGCAAATTGTATTAAAAGAATTGTCTTTAAAACAGCCCACTGTTGTGTGGCTGCTCTGAAATTAAACTTACAATCAGTATAGATCCGTCAACGGTACATCATCACATTTCCGGTTTAAAAACAAAACAAAAACCAACAGAACAAAGTGGATTCCTTTGAATAAACTGGTCTGACGTAAACATTTTTTATTGTTCTCACACCGAGGTCGGTTTCAGTACCTGTGCATTTCAACAGAAATAGATCTGACCAGACCAAGCAGACGCTGAAGTATGCAAATAGACTTAAAAAAAAAAAGGCCAACATATTACAAACAAAATTCCACCTTTTTCACCAACAATAAAAATAAACCTATTTTAGTTAGTCAAGTTTTCAGCCTCAACCATTTTACAAGATTATCCCGAAGAAGAGTTCACAAGCTTGTGAATGGCCATGTTGAAGGGTCGTTTTGGTGATACGTGTAGGTTGGCACAAAAACAGCTGATTTGTTTCGGAAAGGCACTCGACACAAAGGGCTATCAGGTCAGCGTCTTCATAGCGCTTTAGCTAGGGTGAAGAGAAACAGAAAAAGTGGCACTCGTCATCTATCACCACCACATACGTGGTTTTTCTTCGGAATTTGAAAAGGAAGATAAAATAGGATTTTAGGAGTGTTGTGGAACATTTCTCCAAAGTGGTTAAGGGTGCCAAAATCTTTTGTCCTCTTCAACTGTGCAGTTAGTTAACAAAATATATTCTATATCCCTATCTTCTTCTCTTGCAGAAATATCCATTTGTGAGTTCCTCTAAAGTGTTAATCTCTCTATCTTTTCCATTGGAGTTTAGTTCCGGTGGGAAAGGAGCTGTTGGGTTTTCTGAAACTCCTGATCCAACTCTGCGTTGACATCGGCGGTGGACGCTTGATTGTGCAGATACTCGACCCAGCAGAATTCCTGAAGAGTGGAACCCTTCCCTCTGTCTCAGTTGCTCCCCTCCTCCTCCCGTCCCCCTGCAGCATTCCTCCCTTCATTTTCCTCCAAGGCCAGGGTGAGACACGAAGAAGAGCTCAACAGTACAGACTCGCTGCAACACACTGCCACAGACAAAAGACAAACAAACATTTATTAATTTACAACTTTATATGAAATATCCACAAAGTACTTTGCTCTCTAGGTTCATTCTGGGATGTGGTCCAAAACCTTATTCATGAAAATAAACTTTAAGTGGCTGGGCAACTCCCTACTTTCTGTTCAACAAATTCAACAGGTTTGTAAACCTAATAAGGTCAGTAAATTTATTCTCTTGCAGTTCTGCAAATTAGTTTGAAACTTCTCCAATCTGCTTTGTAAAACAATAGTCTACAGGTACACCATGTTAGGTTTTACAGTTAGAGGTACATTGGCATTTGGTTACTGATGTCAAACTATTACACCATTTACACTACCCCTCTGAAACCGATCTGTGCTGAGTTCACACTGAGCTTGGATCATTTAACCGTGCCGAGCTACGACGATTTCCACATCATGCTAGCACGGTTCCTCGCCTCCTATTGGCGGTCCACGATACTACTGCTCTCAAGGCAGAAATTACGCAAAAAAAAACAAAATAAATGGCGGCGTCCATAACATTCTGTAACTTGTGTGTCTGGATAGCGTCCTCTGCCCAAATTTCAATGATAGCCTAGGTCTCAGCATCATCCCAGATCACACCACACTCTTTTGATGTAATTTATTGTTAATAGGTTAAAAGTTCATGCTCTGAACAGGTGAAGAGATCGGTGAATTACAAAGCTGGACACGCCGAATGAGTCAGCTGACTGTAAATAGGAGATGACGCGGTCTGCTCGCGCACTCTGTCATCAGAGAACCGAGCCACAACTCAACCGTGCCGAGCCCTACTGCTGAACTAGAACTAGATTTAGTGCAGTTTTGTTGCGTCTGGCACGATCCAGTTCAGTTGCATTGCATTTAAGGGCTGGATAAACTTCCGCAGCAGCGTGTCGCAGTGAGCTTGTCTCAGATATTTTTGATTTATGCCCAATTTTGAAGCGTGGTCTGCGCTGTGTTATTCGATGACACAAACCAATCACGAACTAAATGTGGGTCTAGATACGGCCGGATGCGTTGAGGAAGTGGAAAAACACAAGGGGCAAGTTTGTGTGACAATGGAGGGACATGAGGGCGAAAAAGAGCGCGATCAGGTGGAAAAAGGGTCCCATCGTTATCACGCACCTCACTCTTCTAGCTGGTCCAACTTCATGACTGGTTTTCACAATAGCGGTCATACAAGCAAAACAAGCCTGTGAGGTACCAAACAGAAAATACGCATAGAGTAGAGTGGATGTAGATTTGACCAATCAGAGCCCTTATGTTCTGCGTATAAATCAGCCTTAACACTCAACAGTTATCTCGGTTTCAAAAGGACAGTGTAAATGGGGCTTATCAGTCAGTAGTTACAATAACCTGGCAACAGACATAATCTGGTTTCTGGCATTCGGATAAACCAAAGTTATAGTGCTCAAACTTAGGCTCACCCACATGTAGCTGCCCACTTCCAGTTAGCAGGCTTAAAGACAGCTAATGTTGAAACCAGTCATGACATAACGACTAAAGGATTGTGACTCATCACTCCTTTTAAAGGTTGCAGTTTTAAACCCACCTTGGATAAACTCTCTGTAGGTATTTTATATTCAATAAGTCAAATCTAATAAACAGACATTTATTAAACAATTTGTATTGATATTTTTTAAGATACCCATAATATAGGGTATCTTAAAAATGTATTTTGTCATTCTTGTTTGCTAAATGTCTCAGGTTGTTGTTTAAGTTTTGGTCCAACAAAACCTGGTCTGATTAACCTGATGCCAAGTAGAACTTCTAAAAGAATAAGAACTAAAAATGTAACAAATGGTCAGTTAGCTCACATGCTTTAACGCAATTGTAATCCAACAAAACAAGAAATTGTGAGCACATGCTTAGTCAGCCCGCAAAGATCCACATAACTAAAAGTTAAAAAATATCTTTAAGTTAAAAATAATAAAAAAAAATTACTTTTGTTTGGATTGAGATATCTCTCTTTTTTTGTGTATTCAACACAGATATGTTCTAAAATATTTACCCTTATGGATGTGTAAGGAACTAAGTAAACAAAATCTCTGATATTCATGAAAACCATGGAAAAAATTGGGGGAACATTTTTCTTTTAATTGTAACACTGTTTATGTCAACATATGAAGTAAATTATTTAAGAAGCACTTTTCGCAGTAATTAATGTGCAACAAGGAAGCTAATTTATCCTCGAAATGTTAGCTTTTAAATTGCAAAACCGACAATACTTTTTATATTGCAGCTTGTACTAAAGTACCTCTTTTATATCTATAAACAGATTGGCAGTAGGTTCAAGCAACATTAAAAATAATACTACTATGCATTTTAATTTCTTCAGCAGCAGGAATAATTGTTTCTTTTTAGTCTGTATTAAACCAATATGATCTTGTTACACTTTCTGGCTTTAATTTCTGGGTGAATTCATAAAAACATGGTACTCTATTATTATTTTGTAACACTGTGAGATAAAATGTCTGTCAATACCCTCATTAGGGTAAAAATTGCTTTAAAATGCCATAACTAGTTTCTGCAGGTGAGCGGAGAGTCAATATCCTAAGTGATTAATCTGTTTTGCAACTTTTAGAGATAAACATATTCTCCAAAAGTAAATAAATCTAAAAGTCAATTAGTAAAAAAAAACACACAAAAAAACAGGAACTTTCACCATTTTCATTCTTTATGGACGCCAATCGAAAGGATATAATTTAATGCCATTTTCACGATTTACTAATAAAGGATCTAATAAAGCCTGGGAGGGAATTTTAATGGATTAATGGAGATAATCTTACAGTTCTTTTATTTTCCTCTGGATCCAAATCAGCAAACTCCATGGTTAACAAGTTTGTTTTTCTTTTCTTTTTCCATAATAGAAAAAAGCCAACTTCAGAGATTGAGCAATTCAGAAACATTTCTAATCACATGCTAGTCCTGTGCAACAGCTGTCTATGGGTTACTGTGACTTATTTATTCTTTTTTTTTACTCACCATTGCAAACTTAAAACCGAGTAGAGAATAAAACTTTATGATTGTCTTTTTTTTCTCCTTAAAGAATCGCACAAGCCGAGCAGCACCCATCGCCGCCATTTGGTGTTGTGGCATAGTTCATCTGTCGGACTATTTCTGCAAACAGTTCATCCACCGAGGTTTTATTTTTGGCTGAGGTTTCTATGAACGGGCAGTTCCACTCGTCCGCCAGCGCTTTCCCCTCACCGGACGACACCTCCCTCTCTCCCTCCAGGTCCACTTTGTTCCCCACCAGGATCATCGGTACCCTCTGGTACCGTTTAACCCGGATGATCTGGTCCCTCATGGGTTTGATGTCCTGGAAGCTCTGCTGGTTGACCAGACTGTAGACCAGGATGAAACCCTGGCCGTTTTTGATGTACAGATCTCGCATGGAGGCGAACTGCTCGGTCCCTGCCGTGTCCAGGATCTCCAGCACCGACGGGGACGAGTCCACCTCGATCTCCTTCCGGTAGAAATCCTCTATCGTGGGGTCGTATTTCTCTATAAAGGAGCCAGTCACGAACTGGACGGTCAGTGCGGATTTCCCGACCCCGCCGGAGCCGAGAACCACCACTTTGTACTCTCTCATTGCTCCTGCTTCCTCTCCGTTCTTCAAGCCGCTAGCCGCCCCTGCTGGCTTTCAAACCGCCGCCAGCGCTGTTCTGCGAACTCCGGGAGGTAAAGAGAACCGGGGTGTGGCCGTCAGCTATCTCCGTTCGGGAAGTAAATGTAGATATTGTAGCTCCAGACTCAGCATTTATATTGTAGCATGCTTAGACCCCGACAACAGCCCAGCCGGTTCTTGTCTGAGCTCCCCCCGTTTTCCTTCACGCAGGCACCGTGCGTTGGTTGCTCTCTTTTGGCAGCGTCAAGTCACCCTCAGCACAATTCAACTTCCTGGTTAAGGACTTTCAAAATAAAGGCACCGAACTATTTCATTAATACGGTCATAAATGGGTTGCATTACAGTGCATCCGCGAATTTTAAAATCTAAAGATTATTTAAGTTAAACTTTTTTTTTCCACCAACAAACATTGTATTACCACAACAAAACCCCTTTACATGGAGTTAGTTTATTTTATTTTTATTAATATATTATATTTTTATTTTATTGAAAAATATCAAGATTTACAGACTACGGCAAAGGATTAGGGCCACTGAAAAAATAAAAAGTTAACTGATTTTGATTTTATTTCAGTTTAATATGAGAAAAAAGTCAGAATTATGACTTTTATTTCTCAGAATTATGACTTTAATCTCAGTATTTTGACTTTTCCCCCATATTAAACAGAAATAAAATTTAAAAATCAGTTAACTTTTTAAAATTTTTTCAGTGGCCCTAATCCTCTTCCGTAACAGACAAACATGGCTGCATAGAGTTTGTTCCTTCAAATCAGGATACATAGTAAATATAGCCAGCGGGAGCATCTCTTAATACAAATAGGAAATATACCTATAACGTAGACTTGCTATAGAGGGATATTAACATAAACAATCAAATACAATAAACAAATAAATAATCAAATAGAAAATTATGATAAGAGTAATTATAAAATAAATTAAAAAAATATATATATATATATATGAAATAAAATTATGACATGAGGGGAGAATTCAGTCTTCTTTTAACTGTTTACTTCTTTGGGAAGTGTTTTAGGATATCATTTATCTTTTTTGCTTTAGGACTTTACAGAATCTTTAATGATTTTATATATAGCTTACACTCATTTAGAAAAACAAGTTTGGGACTTTACATGGAGTTAGTTTTCCAAACTTCTATTTCGACTTCTGCTCATTGTCGCTAACTTGATGCCAGCTTGGCTCAGCCCTTCCGGCCCTACGCGTTTTGCGTCCTACGTCACCAAATACGTATTGCGTCTTTCTCACTTAAAGGTGCAGCGCGGTTGTTATCGCGGTTAACGCAGCTCCTGCCCCCAGTCCACTGGAAGACCTGCCACACCTTAGTTTCGACATGACTGTTTCTTGAGCTTACTATTGCTTAAGTCATAGATAGCAGAGCTTACTGGAAATGTCTACCTGTATATAAGGTATAAAGAGATCTACAGTCAGTGTGTTGCATAATGACAAAACAGATTCGCTGGGTTTTTTTTCTCCCACTATGTACCAGTGACCTTAGATTGTTTTTACATGTATGGAACAAATTATACATTTTCATTATAGCGTGAGTTTTAAATAAAACTTTGTATTTCTGTTTTTGTTGGTTTTACTGATGTTTAGTTCTGTTGTGTTTTTTTTTAAATTTGATCCAAATGTCTTGTTTTTCTTTTTTTGTTTTTTTGTTTCCCCCCCTTATCAAAACTATTTGAAGTTTGAAGATCTCTAAGGGGAGCAGTGGTGGTTCTATATCAAATTTATCAGGGGGCCAGGGTGGGGCCAGTTTTTTTTTTTTTTTTCATGAGGGCACAGAAAAAAGCACAACACATAAAACAGGGAAATAGTCAATCATCTGATATAGCATGGAAGAGAGCCACTTGCAGCTCTGCAGACAAAAAAGTGTGAACCTGTCTCAATACCTATAAGTGTATCATTGTTTTGTAAAATCAGAGACACCTGTCTAAACTGTTCATAAAAGGTGGGGGAACCACAGAGTAAATTGTTTTTGATGTCAGTCAAAAAATTGGCATTTTGTCCAGAATTGAACCTTTTGATATTATGACCTCATCAAAACTTGGGACATATTTAATTTTTTTTAATCATTTTTTACAGAAAAAAGTATTTTATTAGACAATCTGATGTTATGGGAATTATAAATGACAGCATTCATTTTAAAGAAACCATTTAGAAAAAAAGATAATCTCATGTTTTCTCCGTTTTCATAGTATTCTAAAGTTAAGCTACAAAGAGAAATGTTCTGGTAATCAAAGTTTGATAGTTTGCAGCCTGATCAGCTGAAATACCAGGCCAGTCACAGTGCTGGACTTAACACTCTTAGTGCTAGAATTAGCTATAGCAGCAGTGTTTTTCTGCAACAACAACAGTCAGATGGTGACCACAATGATGCCCTTTACTATGTTCCTAAGTAGCTGGATATATATTTAAAACCTCACAGCTGGCAGCTCTAAGGGCTTTTCTTTAGATAAAAACAAACTTTTTTTTTTTGTAGTTATCTGATTGGTTCTAATCTGTTTCCATTTATCCTTTTAGAGTCTGGCTGACCAGGCTACAGTATAACGTCTGGCTAGGGGCAAACTTATTATTTTTTATTTTTTTTCCTGATAAGTGAATCCATCATTATATTGAAAGTTGTGTTAATTGCAAAGTGGTCTATCCAAAGAAACCCAGAGGGACAGGGCTACATGTGGGGATGAACAGTGAGGGTTTAGTGGAAATTTGGTCCTTTTGACACTATTGCCAACTTTTCAGCCAGGAAAGTTGCTATTAAATTTCCTACAAATACCGGTAGTTAAAAAATCACAAAATCACACCATCATCCAATGTGCATATTTGATAATGTTTTGATTTAGCCTGTAGGAGAGAGGAATATCAACATCTGCAGGACAGAAAGTGGTCAGAATTACTAAATATTTTTAAAACTTAAGTTGATCTGTAAAATAATTTAAAGTATGCAATAATAATTTATTAAATCCAAAACGTCGTAAATATATTTTGTTAGGTTGGAATTAAATACATTCACAATCCATTTTTGAACAGTTTCAAATAAGAAAATATCATATTTAAATCCCTGATTATAATCCATGGTCAGCTGAAGCTTTGCTCATGTGTGACTCATTTTAAATGGGGAAACAGAGATGAGTCGTTCTTCTCTCTCTCTCTGACTACAGGAACAGTTTGCTGCTGAAGCTGACTGCTTGCCAGTGCAGTGGAAGAGAGAGGGGCTCGCAGCAGTCCTTGCTGCTTGCTGAAAACACTTACCAGTTTGATGCTTTTAGCTTGTCACCAAAATCTCCAAAATCACACAAAAAAAGGCTCAAGATTTATCATTAGGCATTTGTTTTCCCTAAAAAAAATTGCTGGAATGGACTGAAAGGTCAAAATCTAAACTTAGCAGCACAATTACTGATGGCAACAGTGTGAGAAAAGGCGGCAGCTAGATTATTAGGCTAGTCTAGCCTAACCTAGACTGAGTTAGGCTCACAGAGTTAGACTGTAAGTGCTATCAGGGCATCCTGACAATGCTCTCCCATATGCATGGTGTTATTGACTGAGGCAGACAGTTTGCTTTTAGCATTAGGGAAGTGATAAGAGCCAGTGAGAGGAATTAGTAAGATGTAAAACACATTTTACGAGGAAATCAAATGTTTGACAGCGTGTTAAGGTAGGTTTGTTCACTCAGGCTATGAGAGATCAAGTAAGAGCAGGACTACTGGTCTATTTTGTTCTATTGTATGTTTTTAATGGTGTCTACGTATAGAATATTGTTTGTTCTTCCTCAGTCATAGATTTTGTGGTTTTTATTCCTATTAACTCAAAATAGATAAACATTTTCTTGCGTGACTCTAAATTGCTTATTCTTCTGTTATAACCCGTTTTCTACATTATTGAATATGAAAAGTTTTCCATGGATAAAATCTGTCTAATTGATTATCCATTGAGTGTGACTTAGACCATAAGTTGGTTATTGACCAAGGTTATTTTTCATATAAATGTTAAGTAAATGTTAAGCAAACCTCAAGTGTGGTGTTTTTAGTAACATAAAAGAACGAATATAAGAAAACAAGACGTAACAGGAACAAATGAGACAAAACAGACAAGTGGAAACATTCCTGACAATCTCCACATCTGACGCAAAGCTTTCTTCCAAATATGTTTTTCCTTGAACTGCAACCCAGTATCAGATTGTTCATCGTTTCCTTGTTCATTTATGTTTTCAAGGGAAACAATTTTGAACAATTTTATCAATAGAAATGTTTTCCTTTATAGGATTTAGTAGTTGCTCAGGTTTAGTATGTAAGCAAATGCAATGACTTTAGACTAACTAATTACACAGGACATTCAGTTGCTGCTTGTTCTGAGTGCACATGGTAATAAAGCCTTTATTTGAGAACAACTACTGTGTCCAATCAGAGCCTAAAAACAGAAATGTTATGATTAACAAACTGGCTTGTCTCCATCTCCTCGTGCAATGGCTGGATAAAACTCTTCAAATCTGGCTTGCTCAATTTAAGCACAAGTCATCACTGGTGATACATTATGCAGTCATGCAGTGTTGATAAGCAACATGAATGCAGACATAATTACTGAGTCACAGTGTGTCATTGTGATGGTCTGAGCTGAATGTCACCAGCGCACAGGTAGAAAGCATGTGGAGTTGCCAAACAGGAATCCGGGGCATTTTTTGTTATTTCTTTGGATTGGGGGGATGGCAGAAGATGAAACACGTGGGCTGAGTTGTCATTGGACTTTCCAAGTGCCCCGAAGCTAGCCCCTCCCCAAATCCCATTAAAAAAAGGCATAGCCTATCTAAAGACAATCAGCACTCTGCCCCCATGGGGAGTGGTGGGTAATGTGAGCTACAGCCTTGTGATGTGGATTTTCACATCTGGGAGAATTATCCCACTGAATCCGAGGAGCAGCCTATCCATCAGAAAAGAAGAATCTGTTTTCACAAGCAGCCGATAGACATTGGTCAGCTTATCAGCTGAGGGCATGTAACCCCCCAGGTGAGTACTCAGCAACTAACTATCAAAGAGTAAGATAATGGGGATGTGCTCCGTTTCACACAGTTACCATGGTAAGGAGACCCTAGATTTATTGTAACCCCTGTTTAAACAAGAGAAACACAATCTGGTTAAGATTATGAAAAAAATAAATAAATGAACCACTGTTAATAATATCTTACCAAGAACAAAAATACTTTTTTTAC